TTTCTTCATTACCCATTCAAGCCGTCTCCAGCCATTATTAGTCTCAAAGTGGGTTCCTCGTCATCGAACCTAAACATAAAGTTTTCATAAATGCCAACAACACTGATGAAGATTAGTTGTAGAAAACAAACCTGTATTTTTCAGACTTAAGAAGGAACATTTTAAATTGCATACTTTGAAAGGTGTATTCTCAGGCTCTCATGAAATGAATATCACATTTGAATGAATTAGAGAAACTCACCAAAAAAATAAAGACAAGCTAATATTTGAGAGTGCAGGGAAAACTTCTGTAATCTTATAATGATAATCAGTTTAATAAGAAAAACCTACTTACTTGAGGTGGATAAGGCACTAGTGGTCTAACAAAGTCTTCTCCTGTAAACAACAGACTTTTGAATAAGTGACAACTATAATAAAATCAGAACTTCCTTGTCTTTTACAGGTTCAATAAAACAATAGATTTATAAACAATTAACATCAAACAAAATAAAAAAATACCATAGTGTAGGAGAACAATAATTTTAAAGAAAAAAAATACACATGCTAAGAAGAAAGTAAATTTTCGATTCACTGGTTTAAAAATAAAAGATGAATTCTCTACATAACCTCGACACTTATTTCATCCTGAGCCAGATAATTATTTTCTTTTATTGAGAGTTGAATCTATAAACCATAAACACTATTAAATGTTGAAAAAGGTTTATGTTACTACAGTTTTATTTTCAAATACAGACCATATTCAGAAGGACAGAATACCATACTTATTCAAAAACATTCAAAAATGATATACCCTAACCATGATGTTTTCATAAATGTCAATAATAATGATAAAGATTAGTTATAGAAAACAAACCTATTAACATTCGTGACACTATAAAAAAATAATCATGATAAATTTAATACACTGAATTATATCTTTCCATTTCATCATTCCAAAAATAATACCGATTTCATTATATGAATATTTTAATGTATTTTTCAGACTTAAGGAGAAACATTTTAAATTTCATACTTTGAAAGATGTATTCTCGGACTCTCTTGAAATTAAAAGCACACTTCACATAAAATCCCTATCTTTTGGAAAACATTTGATCGAACACTTTATTGAGCTGTAATTTCATGTTGTAAAGCACACAAACTGTTTCATTTTTTAACTATGTTACAAATCTTAATGGTGACTTACTTCCAAGTTGTGGTGGTGTCTGTCCACATGGCTGCAAGCTACAAGTCTGTTAAGGAACTTTGACTGGTATTTCAATCTAAAGATAGCAATGTCCACCATAAAATGATACCTTGCAAACTATTGATTACAGAAAATGCAAGGTCTCATCGACTTAGCATTTGGTGTTAATTTACACAAGGCAGTGATTATACGATATTAAAGATATACATTATTATCGAGTTTATATTACCTGATTAAAATAAACAATATCACAAGTTGTTAAAAGTACATACAATCCTGGATTGGCAAAACATTTGATTTTACTTATATATTTAATCATTTTACAACCTATTTTCACTTCCTAGAAAGATTTACTGAGGCTGTTCCAAACTTTAATCATTAGTGCAAAACTAATTACCTCAATAATGGCTGGAGACGGCTTAAATGGGTAATGAAGAAAAACTTTAATATAAGTTTAACATGACAGCAAATGTACAACGTTTCGACAAGGTGATGACAAAACCTTGTCGAAACGTTGTACATTTGCTGTCATGTTAAACTTATATTAAAGTTTTTCTTCATTACCCATTTAAGCCGTCTCCAGCCATTATTAGTCTCAAAGTGGGTTCCTCGTCATCGACTTTTAATTACCTCAAGTTCCACTTGGGGCAACGCTACAGAGGATAAATGCATCTTCAAAGCTTAATATACTATACATTTCTTTCTAACTTGGTAAAATACTATGAATACTTGAATCCCACGAGTTCCTTGTTTTTCATGTTTACATCAAATTAAAAGATCTTCCTCATCCCGATGATTGACACGTACACATCTTTACTTCCGGTTTATTAGATACAATCATTCACTTCCGGTTTATTAAATACAATCGTCTCATTGCAGCATCCTAGTGACGTATAAGTGTTCACACGTGCACTATTCTCAGTTGACCAATCAAAACTAACTGTGCTACTGTTAAGGCTCTGTATTATATTTGCGGTTCATCACTGACCGGGTAAAATGATGTAACTGAGAGTGGATAAAACACTAAAGCCTCGCGTTTGATGTACGAGTAAAAAGACAAGTATCCTCGCTTTCGCGCACTTCATAGATTCAGATACTTCCAATGCAAATTCACAGAAATACCAGGAGCGATTACTTAACATTTTAGAGGTCGTTAAATGATCTGTACATCCAAACTCATAAAAAAAAAAAGTGTTTCTACTTCTCCCAATGTTGCCAGAGTGATGTAATTATTCACACGTCGTGTTTAACATGAAAGTTACTGAACTCGCATTATCTAGTGTTGTTATAATTGTTTTCAGTAGTACAAAATAAAGCGTATATTCCTACGGCGTGTTACTATATTTTAATTCACCCTCTCCTATGAGCACTTATTAATACAAATAATGTTTGAAATGGACCGGTACTACGCGTGGTACCATTACTTGTCATCATAGTCAGAAATATACATCTAAGTGCGTACACGGACTTTTTTCTTGTCCCTTTTAATTTTAACCCCCTTTTCTGCGTAAAGACACTTCATTTCAAGCTCTAAATACAATACAGTTAATGGATAATATTACGCCTCAGTCTGAGTTTAGAAATACCCAAGTGTCCGCTAGTTTCTTATTATAAGGCATATATATATTATATATAAAACAATGAATCGTTTACATGTGGGCTTAAACATTAACGGCTCCCGGTTACAGCCCCATGATCCGATATTCCAAATATTGAACGTGAAAGCAACCACACATGTAGGCCTAATGTTTATTCAGGTTGTTATAAAATACAAACAGTAGTATGTATATAATGTTATATTAGGAACAGAAGCCGGTTACATTATGAAGTATATTTATAACCATTCCAGAGAACAATATTATTGTTAACCGTAAGTAAAGCCTTTTAATATTTTGAAAATTTATGTCAAATTTCTCATAATAGAAACACGATGAAAAAGTTGAATAACAATAAGAAGAAAACTCCGCTACTAGTGGCGGGAATTTTTCGGTATATTGATCTGTCTCCCCGGTTACACTATAGCAAGAAAAACTTTTTTTTTTTTTATGACCTGACCATTTACGAGACATTTATTAAAATAAACTTCTGAAAAAATCATGTTTTATAAACAATTTGTGCTGATTTTAAAACACGTGCAAGCGGCTGAGCGCATAATCCGTTTTCTCATATTAACCGATCTTATCTGTAATTTAATGTGTAAAAATAAAACCTCCGTGCGCGTAAATTTCGGGACAGACTTCTTAAGGACGAATATAAAAGCAAAACGAAACCCTTCATAATTTTTTTTAGAAAATTCATGAACTAAAAATATATATATATATATATATACATTACAAAATCGGACGTACTATGAGTGAACAAAAAAAGCCGTTTATCGTATCATTTTCAAAATTAAATTTTCGTAGTAAAATAACTGGGAGTTTAATCACTAGTAGTATATTTCGTACCGCTATTTTATTTTGCCTGGAACACTAACTGAGTGCAAGGCAGTACGAGGCTGTTGCAATACCCTCTGCGCCACCTATTCGAAAAAACTTCTATTACTTAAGAGGGGGGGGGGGGGAGCATGGTCTAATATTACGAATACTTTCACTTGTAAATTTAGAAGTTGTCTTGTGTACTGTATTATTACTCAAGTAGCTGACAATGACCGTGTGATATTAATAACTTCCGATAAAAAAAAGTTATCACAGGATCAAACACAAAATTAAATAAAAAAAAGGCCCAAACTCAAGCGCTTTCGAATAGTTCACTATTCTCCAGAAGAATAATCAACTATTCTAATTAGCTGGAGTTTCTTTTTTTTCTCTCGAAATTCACCTTAATAAGGTATTGTCTAATGTTCTTTATCTTCCCGTGTCTTGTTTTCCACAGCAAACATGAGATCTTGAAATTTATGTCCCCAAATTAGAATGAATCGTGTCCAAAAATTATGTGAATACGTAATTAGAAAGATCAGACGACGAAAGGAATTATTTATTAAATAACCACATTATTAATATGTAAAATCTAGCCACACGAATGTCAGAGCAAAACATTTCACCCGAGTTAATTCGGGTTGGTTACTTCCTGCAGATAGAAGAGGCGTTTCGTACTTACAGGTCAATGAAACTTACGGAATGAAAAACGTCACTTGCTTGCTGATGAAACTTTACTGAAAAACCTAAAAAAGTTTCGTAATCATGTAAAGTTGGATTACAGACTGATAAACTTTTAAAGCTAATTTATCATATAGCATTTATTATTTCATAATACGTCAATAGAAAGCTCCCCCCCCCAAAAAAAAAACACATTAAGTTTAATGTCGCTTTGTCACTTTTTCTTTTCAAGACGCATAAACTTGCAAGGTACACGCAATTAAATGAAGATTCGCGTTTTTCATGAAACAATGAAAAAAACACATTACTACCAGATCTGGTTTGTGGTAAACATAACGTTCTGGAGTACTTTTATGTCAGTGGCTTGAGGTCTGCACAGGCCGAAATTTTATACAAGGTTACCAGGCCAGGCGGTTATCTGGCCCGAGCCCGCCCGAAACCCGACTTAGGCCCGAAGGTTAAACGAAATGTTACTCACTAGATCGGCAGCATCTTCTGACCTTCCAAAATAAAGAAAAAGGTACTATAATCCTATAAATACCACTACGGTGAACTTAGCAACATTATGTTTAATATGAATGTTTTCACAACTGATAAAAAAAAAGAGGCGTGACACTATTTGTAGGATTACAAAATCCCTTATGGCACTGCCTTGGATACTAAGTATCAAAATTATACAGCTGCTAAATAACTATTGTTTGACCACAGCTGTGTGTGTGTGTAGGTTACCGTTTTTCGAGAACTAAGTTTGAATGTTTTAAAACAAAGTTTAAAAAGTTCAAAATATCGGGTAGAAAACCTGAAATCTTTCAAATAAGTATCACAAATGTCACCTCATTCAAGCCTGACTCGAACCCGGATCTTTTTTATTATTATTATTATCCGACCCGAGCTCATTCCGCAGGCAGAAGAAAGACCTCTACATGTGGCCAAAAAGTTGAACCTTTACGAATGAATGTCATTACACATTAGATACATTTGGGATTTCCAACCTCAACGTCAGATTAAACACACAGATTAAATTGACATTTCAGAGACCCTAAAGATTCAGGCACAGCCGTACCTAATTCATAACTTTTGGTCTAAGAAATAGCAGCCAGTCAGCGATACCACTTACTACCTACTCTTAACAGAACAGCGCAAGTGACTGTCAATTTTACAATGTGCTCGTGGCTGAAGGAACACAGCATATCGTGGGCTTCCGATATACTCAACTCACACCTGGCCCCTATCTAATACAGTAAATACAGAGTACATCACGCGTAAAACCCATACAATTTCTAATTTGGATATAATACACTGTAGCTCAACCAAGTTGAGCTATTTCGTTCTAAACTTTTCTTAAATATAGAACACAGAACTTGATAAGTAACCAATGGAAGACTTAGATGTAAATTACCTGTACAACTGCAGACAAAGATCTTATTACGAGTGCATCTTCTGACTAAGAGTAACGTTATATGTTTATTGCCAGGACAGATCTAAGTGTTGCATTACAAAGACAGGTAACTAACTCAACAGTGGTCAAGTTAAGGACAGAACTTAGACAGTCGTGACAAGGCATCAGTAACCGTTATTTAACACTCTGGCCAAAGTTTAATGCTTTCGTTATTCAATAATAACGTCTTACATTGCAGTAACTGATACCTAACACCCTTTAATATAACTAAGATGGTCACTGTCATTCGCAAAGAAAGACTAATTTGACATGGCAGGAAACCTGTAATACAACACTGTCGTCAAGCGTAGATCCGAGTATCTGTGATGAAATAAGTTTAAAGAGAATTTAGCTGAGGTCATTCATGTAAAACAATGTCAAAGACTTAAAAAACAGATGAAAATAATACCAAAATAAACTATTTTATCAAAGTAGTGTTTCTGGCCTCTTTTTTTTTTTTTGTCTCCATGAAGCCACAACTTCACAACCCTAACCCTAACAT